TGTGTATTTAACGTAACGCCGATGATACTTGTCAATGTCATACTTGAGAATATAGAATTATTTAATTGTATTTAATTAATGCTAGAATTCAACACCAGCTGTTTCTCTCAACGTTGAAGACATTTTCTTAACATGGCAAAGGTAGGGAACGCACAGTCTATATATTGGCTGCTTTCCTTTTAGGAGACACAGTCGACATAAGTTGACACAAGAGTCATTCTGTTTCTGTCTCTCACTGAAAACTGAACAAAGATAGAATGACTTTTGTGTCGACTTGTGTCGACTGTGTCTTCTAAAAGGAAAGCAGCCATTATACGTCTATGCTACGTACACAGGCGACACTGGGTGCGTTCAGACAACTCAACAGTTGCACAACGGTTGAGAGATAATCACTTATGATTGGATCATACTTTTGGAACTGTATCAGATTTTGAAGAATAATCCTATCATAAGAAATGATCTCTCAACCGTTTAGTTTTCTGAACGCACCCAGTGTCCACTAGTGTGAGTGAGACACACTGATATGCTCTTTCTCACACTAATGGACACTGTGTTACACAGTGTCGCCTGTGTACGTAGTTGGAAAGCTCCCATTATGTCTGCACTCTTCCACCAGCCGACGTGCTAAGCGTGACGTAACGCACACGGACGGCGGTTCTCGCTTGTGTGCGTGTTCCCAGTGGCTCCCACCACCTCGGTGCTCTCGGTGCTAGCCGGCTCGAGTTTGCAAGTCTGGGCGACACTGTGTAACTTACACAAAAAATTAATATATATTTATTTTCTTATGTTTTTATATTTATTCTGTATATACTTGCACTGTTATTTACATTGTTATTTAATTTGGTTTTCTTGATGTTAGAAAGCGCAGGTTTGTTGCAAAAGTGCTTCGAGGTAAATTTTTTGTTGGTTTAATAATATAAGTTTTAATAAATGCAAAAATATTAATTACATTTTATGGGTTTTTTGTGTTAATTTCGCATTTTTTATATTCGGTAGTATTTAATATGAAATAGTTAAAAGAAAGAAATTTAAACTAATACTTCTTGACTATATAATATTTACTATATGAATAGTTTATTTAGAATTGTTTGTTGTAATCGTTATCTTTTATTTTCAATATATTTGATTAATGAATTATTTTGTATAACGATAAACACACGTACAGAGGAGTGCACCACATCGTTCCGCTCCAGGGGAAGTGTTTCTCGGAAATTTCTCCTCCGGCTGTCCCTACTACCGCGCGCCGTTTTCCTTCAATTTCGGGCCGCTGGCGGAGATCGAAAGAGTACGGCGCGCGGTAGTAGAAGCATTTCAGAAATTTCAGAGACAAACTTCACCTGCAGCGNAACGATACGGTGCCCTCGATACGGTGAGTCACGATCTGCTCGATCTTGCNACTGTCTCTGCTTCCGGCGCGTTATCAGCAGTCGCTAGGCGATATGTCATCGCGCGTTCAAGGACTCGCTGGTCGAAGGTCGCACGTGCGGCCGAAAAGATGCAATGATGCACTGCACTTTTCGGGAACCCAATGTCGCCCGATTTTTTATATAATATAAATTAAAAGAATAACAGTATTCTAGCAATAANAAGTTTATTGTATTTAAGTTTTAGAAATAAACTACGTACACATTGTCGCTCATCGGAAACCGCGAGAAAGTGGTGGTCTCTTACATCAAAAACAATCTAAACCATTTGTTTTGTTTAATATTATAATAAAAGGTTATATATACGTTTTTTAGCATAACAAAAAAAAATACTAATTAAAATTAATGAAATAATTCTACATATTGTAGTATAAAAAAATGTTTCAATAAAAATATAAATAAATACAAATATATAATTAATACACTATTTACAAAACCAATGTTGTGTATTTCTAAAAGGAATACAGATAGAAAGGAACAGGTAAAAGCAGGGTATACAAAGTACCAATACCACGAAAGATCTTGGAAACTAGGCATTTTACAAAAAGTGTTTCAGATAAAAGTTGTAGGGCTTTAAAAGGATCTATTTATCAATTGTATCAGTGTCACTTTGTAAAGCGCTACTAAGGTCAAGTAAAGAACACAGTGATTTTTTTAAATGGACCACTCTACTTTCTATTGCAGATTCTTATAGCTTAATTCAAGAGCTTTCTAGAACATTATAATAAAGATTATATTCATTAAGCATTTTTTGAGTTATGAAATTATTATTAAACTGCCTAGTTATTTGTGAACTGCCTAATTTTCAAGATTTTTCGCGGTACCGGTACTTTGTATACCCTGTATATATGTACATATATTTAATTGTTTACTTATGTTAATGTCACTTTACACGCGTTACAATTGACGACAAGTCAAAACAAAAATATTTAAGAAATTAAAATGCATCTATAAATAAATATATATATATATATATATTGTTACGCGGCGGACATCGAGTGCGTGAGCCGCGTGAACGGCGTGCGCTCGGCGCGATTGTTCGTTGCCGGGCTACACTCGCGGCAGCGTTTCTGTTTCGTCGCCGTATACATATACATATTTACTGTCGTCAATTGTAACGCGTTTAAAGTAACTTTAAAATAATTATAACACTCTCTATGTATTACGTGTTTTTTTATGTTCTATTCTTTTTCTTATCCCAGATAGCATAGACCTGCAAAGTACGTCCTAAAAACATCCGGAAGATGTGCTACTTTCAAGCAGGGACTTATACCGATATGCAAAATACCGATATTTTTGAGTAATACTATGAAAACCCTTATGCAAACCGAAATGCAGANATACCGGTATAACGTCATACGATAATACCGGTATATTTCCCAAAATTTACCTATATTTACCGATAATTTTTCGAGCACATTAAGCGATTGATATTATATTAAGAAACTAACAGAAGACGATTTTTACAATTTATATATAAATTTGTCCAATACGACGAAAAAATAAATTAGAGAAAAGCAAATTTTGTACACGAGTATTTTCAGTATATGATTTATCGTGCAACAAATCATTATGTTTAATTAATGATTGTAGACATGAAATTACTGTAAGTAAGTTTAGTTTTGAATATATAGTTTTGAATATATTTATATATACTAGACGTCGATTTTATTTTTTAAATAAAATGTATATACAAAATTGCCGAATGCGTATAAACAGAAGTATTGAAATCCTATAGTTAAACTCTACCGGTTCCGGCATAAGTTAACAGTTATTGGCCGTATAAACCAGGCCTAAAAGACGGTGCCGGGGCGTGTGCCGGCAGAATCGTCCCGAAAGGTGTTGCCGCCAAAGGCTCTACTCGACAGAGCATCGCTCGTCTAACTTTGCGTCGCATATGTGACATCGCGGATGAAATGACTGTACAAGAAAACAATAAAGAAAGAGAAAATAATAAAGAAAGAGTTGTGATTTATTCACAAGAAAAAATACAAGTTAATTTTCGACTATCTTCTCTCGCAGCATCCTAAAGATTCTACGGGATAACACTTCCCTAACAGAACATGTAGCTTCTGAGAAGCTTCGAAGCAAATGCTAACAGTATATTGTTAATATTCTACGATCATTCGACATACGTATCATAATGTAATGAGTACATGTTGAGTAAGTGTTAAGGAGCGCCCTAAAGTCGTTCGTTTTATATACAGAGAATATCTTGTAGCATGTACTCAGGATATCTACAAAATGGTTTTGGTATACTCTCAGCATGTATCAGTACATTATGTACACACACGCACACGCTTACACATATATATTATATCATATATTAAGGTTAGGGTTAGGTTAGGTTAAGTTAGGTAATGTTATTTTTTGTATTTTATATATTTTAGTTTATTTGAATTTACTGTATTTGAATATGTAGTGTAATACACATAGTACTAATAATATATAAACATTATAAACCAACATATAATTTTCGTGGTGTAAAACTTACAAATTAAAATACGGCGTACAATTAATATTATTTCAATAACAGACATAAATCTTTTAAAAATAAAATTAAACATTTATAAAGAATTTTCTTTTTTAAACAAAGAATTCTAAGAAAAATCAAATAAAATTTGAATAAACATTCAAAGATACTTATTCTTTTTAAAATATTTCGCAAAAACCAAAAAATACTAAAAATAAAAATGTAATATATTAATGACTATCTTCTTCTTCTTGTTGTTGAGTTACTTGTGGTTTTTTTTTCTTCATCCGTTCTTTTGCATTATTTAACCATGTTTTAATTGGAGATGCGATTTCTTCGTTTGTTACGTTTGTATGTAACTTTCGGATTATACCTAGAAAAAATACAAGTTTTTCATTACATTTTCATTTTACTTATTTCTTAAATTAGGACACAAATGTTTCTATAATATATTTAGGTGAGAATTCCCCGGTAAAAAATTTTCCATGTATAAAATTGTATGAACATTCGGCACATATAAATTTGAATAATTAGATATAATAAGTTTAATTTGTGTATAAGTATATATGAAAAATTTTTTACCGGGTCATTATATGCTTTATTTGTAATATGTACAAAAGAGATGAAGAGTTGAAATATATTAATACTTGTAAACAGTTTTACTTACTTCAATAACTATACTAGATATAATTATGAATATCCCGGTTTTTAAGAAATATTATTTAATAAGAAATAAAAATTGTTCATAAAATTTTACTTACTCATAATTACTTTGCATATCTCTAGTTGTGAAAACGCTTTTTTCTCTTCCGTTCCATTCCAACTGTAGCGTACTGCCACTTCGTTTGATAGTATGGTTTTCATCAATTCTCTGCAAGATTTTCTTAAATCATCCGTTCCACATGCTTTCAATTGCTCAATCTACAATTATTAAAAAGTAACATTATTTTTTTTGAATTGATTTAGATCGTAAATTGTTGTTCTTTCTGTTTTAANATACTTTGTATTGAAATAACAAATGTTAAGGCATCCTATTGAGCGGAAATCCATTACGGAACAGAATGTGTAGAACCAGCTTGTCTAATCATAGCCATTCCATTTTTTTTCCTTCGCTTTTTTTATGGCTATGATTGGTCGCGCTGGCTACGCGCATTCCGTTCCGCTATGAATTTCCACTCAATGAGACACCGCTCTTAAACTTACCATACACTTTCGATAACATATATCATTTTTCAATTTTAATTCCATTAATTGTAACTCATTTTCATTTTTCAGCGGCAAATTATCAAAAACATCAATATTTTGTTTATTATCCTCCTCAATATTAGAAATTGAAAGCTTTTGAAGGATAGCCTCGAGAGATGTGTTCATATTATTTTCAATTTGATTTAATTTCACTTCGAAATTTTTTAGCTTTCTTATAGCAAAACTTTGGGAATTATCACTTTCTGTAACACATTAAAAATATTTTATTCACATTTATTATTTTATTTTTATCAAAAGAAAAAATATATATAAATTTTAAACAATTTGGTAGATTTAGAAATACATTAAGAAAAATATCATGTTAAAAATATCATGTTAAAAATATCATGTTAAAAATATCAAGTTTATATATAAATAAACGTTATGACTTTAAAATATATACTAAATATATACTAATATATACTAATAAATATGTACAGACGGCGTCATTAATTCGAAGAATAGGCGCGGGGATCACATAAAAAGTCCAGTTGATTCAAATATCCATTAGTCCCAAAGTCGGGTGTCCAGTTGTGGACACCCGATTGCTACGAGTTAGTTAGTACGGCGCCCGTTGGCGCTACGAGCAACCGCCCCGCTTGCCCTCCGATCCCCGCGCCTATTCTTCGAATTAATGACGCCGTCTGTACTATACAGGATGTCCCAGAATTGGTGTAACATTTCTCGCAGACAGGTAGAAGGAGTAAAACTGAGTCGAAAAGTCCTATACCAGCTTGGAGCTGTCATTTTGCACGTGGCTGCACGCTCATTCGCGGATCTTTAATTAAGATGAGTTATTTAAGATTTTGATAACTATTACAGATCTAGCAAAATGATATAGGACTTTTTGACTCGGTTTTACTCCTTCTACCTGTCTGCGAGAGATGTTACACCAATTCTGGGACATTTTGTATATAATTATAAGTAATGCAGAGATACTACTTCATACTAACTTTGTTCAACATCTGGTACTATGTTATGNGCTAATGAGATGTTTTCTTTCTTTCTATTATCATTTCAATAATTTATATAATTTTAACATTGATTTAGTTATATCAAAATGATTATATGATTATCTCTGTATGAAATAGCAAATTCATTGTCATTTTTTTTAGAATGAAGATTTAGCTAACAAAAAATATAAAATAATTAATACTATATGATCTTATCGTATGCTAGAAAATCTCTATTATAAAAAGCATATATGAAAATAAAAAACAATGCATAAAAATTATTTAAAGTATGAAAAAATATACGAAAAATATAGTACAAAATTATTTTATAATAACGTTGACTATACAAGATTATAAATACATTATAATCATCAAATACGAAGTGAAATAAAAATTGTTTGTACACTAACCTTCTTCTTTAACCCAGTTTGAACTTGAGGGTAAGTTATTGTCATCATTGTTTTCATAATGAATCTCTGAATGAATATGAATTAAAATTCAATTGTTTACTATACACATAACAGTCTATTATTATTAATACCATATTTCTAGTTTTCTATATATTAATGTTTTTTCGTATTACCTTTTTTTGTACTTTTTGTAGATTTTTCTATAGAAATCGGAATTTTAGGAAGCTCTGAAGTTAAATTGTCGTCAGATAGTTCTTCGTTGCTACTCGCTGACGTATCTATGATTTTAGCGTCTCTAATTTTCCTTGACTTTTTTAGATTCTCTTCTTTTTCTGTGTTAGAGTTCAAATCTAACAGAAATTGTTTGACTTCTTCCAATTTTTTTCTTGCTACTGAATAGTCAGCTACAATAATATATAATAATAAAATTGTTATTTTTTTATGTTCTTAAGAAATATAAGAAATATAAAAATATATTAATATTATACGAAAAAGTAATAATACATTTTAAAAAATATAATGATAGTACTTACAGTACGATGCATATATTTCTTTAACATGATGTTGCGTCCAATCAGATTTCGGATCCATCATAAACATGACCGCTTTATAATAATCTGAATCACTTTTAAAATTTGGCCATTTGACTTTCAATTTACGTTCATCCAACCAATTGGATGGAATTACTTGAAGTTCATTTTCAAATTCGAGCACGTAAAATAAATTTCCATCGGTCATTCTGTTTGAGCGTATAAATTATATTTTGGTATGTATTAACGGAAAAACTGCAAATCTGTTATCTCCACATGGCAATAAAATTCATTTATTATAACTCAGTTTATTGTAAGAATAAGAAGACTATTAATATATATTACATATATTTAATATATTAAATTATTTAATTATATTAAGATTAATTTTATGTAATAGTTTTATGTAATAGCTTTATGTAATTTAATATACTATATTTAATATATTATATTTAATAATGTAATAACATTATTTAATATAATTACTAATTAGTATATATTTTTAAATTAAAAAATATATATCAGTCAGTAATTGCGTAGCGAGTGACACTTTTGCAAACAAAAAATTTTCGTATAAATTTAAGACTTAAAGTCCAGATTAACAATTATTGAACACTTACAAACGCTTACAAGTCTTTACACAGAGAGAACGGTTTATTTAAATTTAATAATCCGATTTGTTTGACTCATATTTGTTGCATTCAAATAACATAATTTTATACCAAACAACAATTTTGTTGAATGAAACTTTGTATTGTTACGTTATACTAAATCATAATACGAAAGAAATAATATAAGTGCTTGAAATAATTTATTTCAACAAAATAATGTTTTATTAGGTTTTTTCCATCAAATAAAGCATTATTTAATGAAAAAATCAATTTTTAACATCAATGTAACATAAACAGACTATATTTTATTTAAATATAGCATTATTTGAGATCAAAAATTTGGTTGCGTTGTAAAAATGTATACTTTAAATCATATTTAATAATAATAAGAGAGAGAAATATTTTTACTAAAATAATATTTGAAAGAAATAATAAATGAACTGTGTAAGATAGCTTGAGAATAAGTAGATAAAAATAATCACATTTTAGTAACAAACAAGTAGTCTTGCGGACTGAGTGCAAGTGCTGCGAATAACGATAAGGAGCGTCTCGAGTTTGATTCCCGCTATCATCTTTAGGATATTTTTAGGTCCGGTCACTTTTAATCGAATTTATCGGTTGATTGGCGAGCTGAACCGGGCTTCCAAAAATTAATTCAAATGAAATCTCTTAGCTGTGTAAAAGCGCAAGTCGCGAAAAATTCTTTTATTGAATTTTTAGATGTATTTAACTTAATAAACTATTTTGTTTCGTCTCACGCTTAACGTAAACACTATGCAAACTTTCAGAAACGCTTTATACAAACGCCAACAAACTTTCAACGAATTTCCGCAAAACGCTCATACAAACGTCAAATAAACGCTTATAAAACTTCTCATTTTCGTCAGGGTAGTGCCTCGCGCTGAGTATGTGCGCAAAGTGTGTGCGCACTGCGCGAAGTACCACCATAGACGTATAATACTACCTTTGCCATGTTAAAAAAATGTCTTCAACGTTGAGAGAGACAGCTGGTGTTGAACAGTAGCCTCATCTTTGTCTAGCAAAGTAGTGGGGGAAAAAGAAGTCTTCGCTGATTGATAGAATAGTAGTGGAAAGGTGGAGATAGAAAAATAATGGGGGTGAAGAAGAATGAAAGAGATTAAGGGGTGATGGTAGGTTATAGGTGGTATGAAACATTAGGCCCTGATCCCACCACAGACATTGATAGACAGAGAAAAATTTACTATTCAAAGTAAGTTGTCTCTCTCAACATTGAAGACATCTTTTCAGCCAAACGCGCAGTCTATATATTGTACGTCTATGGGTACCACGTGCTTCACTTATATGCAAGTGGAGCCGCTGAGAAGATAATTATATACGCGTTGAAAAAAGATAATGTGAGAAAACGAAATAGAAAATACGATATATGTAGATATAAGTAGATGTACTTTGAACATTATGCGCATGTGCAGTGACATATAATACATAGGGCTATTCTACAATAAATTGAAAATGTCCCGTTGCCAGTTTATTTAGCAATTACAAAAAGAAAAGTATTATTTCTGGTTGTGCTTTGTCGTTGCGATTGCTAAAAAAGAGTTAGTCAACTTTTAACTTTTTTGTCAACAGCAACTGGCAACCGCAACACGTAAAATAATACTTTTTCCCTAGTAGTCGCAACTGGCGACGGGACATTTTCAACTCATTGTAGAATGACCCATAAAGAGACAACAGAGGCTAATATAAAAAGTTGTGTTTAATTAAATAAGAAATATAAAAAATATAAAATATAAAAAAAAATAATATAATGTATATAAGTAAAACAAGACAAATTAGTTTAGGTATATAAAAATTCAGAAAAAAATAAGATGAGAAGTAAATATTAAAAAGTGCATTGTGTTGTAATAAAAAAAGTGTTTGTCAAAACCCTTTTGTTCTACAAAAATGTGTGATATCCAAACAAAATACCTTTTTTCAAATGCTGCACTCTGTCTTTAGGTTTCGGTGCGAACTGTCCGCAGATAAGCACGCTTATGAGTCAGGTGGTCTGAATCTGAGAGAGTCGCGTCCGCAAAGAGTTAAGCCAATATATAAATAATTTTTCCTTTATGTACAATGTCTAATTCATTTAAATTACTGTGTAGATTTGTTATTACTTCAAATATTTGAATATTAATAAATTCAAATATTAATAAAAAAGAAAAATAAAAAAGATTTATTAACACGTTCCGTACCGGTCCGATTTTTGATAACTTTTTGTTCACGCCGCGTGGGTCGTATGCGCCCCACGGTTTCGAGACTACCAATTTTGTTGATGACATGTTTCATAATATTTCTACGATTGCAGAAATCGTTATTATCAAGAAAAAAGTAGTTAAATGCCTATGGTGTAATAACTATATTGCATATGATATTTAGACATCACTATGATTTTAGAAAATATTTTATGATAATGTCACACTCAATAGCAAAAATAGCACATGGCCTGAACGGAAAGTCTAGAGTGAGGCGTATACGACCCATACGGCATGGAACGTGTTAATAAAATTATTATTAAAAAAAAAGAAAAAAGAAAACTATATAAAAATATATATTCTTGTCTTGTTTTTTATATAAAACAAAATTGTGTAAATATACATGTACATATACATGCAAACTTTTACAAAACAAAGAATTGTAACAAAAATGTAACAATTGTATAACAAATTGTAACTTACCAATTCAAACGTTCTTCTTCTTCTTTTTTGCTAATTACTATGGCGTACGTCTCTTCACGATAGGAGCAAAAACCACACGCAACAACTCCAACCACACACTATTCAATGTTCTCAGGATTGGCTCTTTTATATCCAGCCGTGGCTAGTCGCGTATCTTCGCAATGAGAGGCACGAGGCCCGAGAAAGGGAGACGCACGAAGTCCAAATATGGGCATAGATGGTCGAGCGTCATTATGCGCAGGCGCATCTACCAAGTGAGTGCGAGCGAGACAAAACACATATATGTAATACTCCTATATTGCTAGTACGGTGCCGACCTGAAGCTCACCGTTACGGTGCAGACAATATAGTAGCCTCTCTCTCCAGCTGCTTTGTGCGCATGCGGTGAACATAATGACGCTCGACCATCTATGCCCATATTTGGACTTCGTGCGTCTCCCTTTCTCGGGCCTCTCATTGCGAAGATACGCGACTAGCAATATAGGAGTATTACATTTTTTTATATGACAAAACATTAGAAAGTGAGAGAAAGAACGCGAAAAAGAGAAATGCGCAAGCGTGCTTGAACAAAACAAATGTTTTACATTGTTTTTGACGGAAGAGACCACCACCTTCTCGCGGTTTCCGATGAGCGACAATGTGTACGTAGTTTATTTCTAAAACTTAAATACAATAAACTTCTTATTGCAAGAATACTTTTATTCTTTTAATTTATATTGTATAAAAAATCAGGCGACATCGGGTTCCCGAAAAGTGCAGTGCATCATTGCATCTTTTCGGCCGCACGTGCGACCTTCGACCAGCGAGTCCTTGAACGCGCGATGACATATCGCGTAGCGACTGCTAACTGATCCGCGCCGGAAGCAGTGGCAAGAGCGAGCAGATTGTGACTCACAATCACGCAGTAAGCACGCAGCAGCAAGTAGAGAGGATATGTATACAGGCAAACAGCCGTGTACAGAGGAGGGCACCGTATCGTTCCGCTGCAAGGGAAGTTTTTCTCTGAAATTTCTCTTCTGGATGCTTCTACTACCGCGCGCCGTAGGGGAGACCGGGGCTAGTTGCCTATAGGGGTAGGTAGACTAAGGCCCGGTTTCACAATTGACGGTTAACTCGAATTAACGGAAGCCCATCTTGCTGAACTCGGCGTAACGCATCTTTTCTTCCTAAACATGAACTGTGATTGGTTAGCGAAGATTTGACAAAGAAGATTGAACGCGTTAAACCGAGCTCAGCAAGTCGAACTTCGGTTAATTCGAGTTAACCGCGAATTGTGAAACCGGGTCTAAGTGTTAATAACATTGCATCTATATGTGCTTTGTCGCGGAAAAATTTTCTGTAAAAACAAGTCGTCTACTAATGCTATTCATTTGTTTTCTACGCCATGATCGCACGTTACTTCAGAATTATAGACGTTTATCGAAAAATTAGCCGCGTAAGTAAATATTTTTTTTTGAAGATTTTATGTTCTCATGCTGTATATAGTTACGATAGGATAAATGTTAAAAGAATATCTTAAAGTTTGTTTATTAAACAAACTATTGAAGCAGTAATTTTTTTTATATATAATTAATTTAAGGTTAAGATAGAGCATTAAAGACAAAATGATCGTTCGGGGCTGGTTGGCTAATAACGTCTGGGGTTATATGACTAACTAGTCAACCAACTCCAGTGATCCAATATCAGTTTTTACTAAATTTTCATTATACTGAATAATGATTAAATACTAACTTGTTTTATAGAATAATGAGGACATATAAAAGAAAATCAAACAGAGATTCAACTTAAAAAAAAATTATTGAACAATGGATTCAGTGTATTTCATGCAAGATGTGGACTCATTTAAATTGTGCAAAAAGTAGTCTGGTTTTCTACAAATGTAAAAATAGTGTTTCAGACTTAAGAAAAACTTAAGTAAAAAATTAAAAACAAGAAGTTTACATATATAGGTATTTATGATTTAATATTCTAAGTTTTTGTTGATATAAAGTTTAAAGTATATTATAACCGATATTATAAAGTTCAAAATATATTAAAAAAGTTGAAATATTAAAAATTTTTAACTGTATTTTGTTGCAAAAGCAATTTTTTATGTTTTGTTTAAATTTGATAAATATGTATTCATTATAATTTGTGTTGAGAAATCATTTAGTTTATTATTAAAGTATAAAAAAAAGATAAATAATATTTTGTAATAAAAAACAACTTTTTTGCCATTGTATTAAACCACTAAGTTGTTAATAACATTTTCTTTACTTCTTATACTTTAGTCAAACCTACCCCATACTGTAAGTTTACCAACCCCGACCGTGGGGCTAGTTGACTAACATGACAAGTGTTCAGAAAATATTAAAATACCTCAGTCGTTGTAACATTAAGTCTACTTTTACTATTTAATCACATAGTCAAATATATAAGATATACTAACCATTATAACGATTATATGTGTAGGAAGACGGCGATTATAAATCAATTAAGCAGGATGTTATGCAATAAAAGCACTGTGTAATGTTGAGCAAAACGTTTCGACTGTTTATTCAGTATTCATCAATCAAACTTGACACATTGTAATCGTTATCTAACATATTTTGTAGAATAAAAGTGCATATAAAGTCTTGCGACTGATGAAGACTGAATAAACAGTCGAAACGTTTTGCTCAACATTACACAATGTTTTTATTGCATAACATCCTGCCTAATTGGTTTATAATCGCCGTCTTCCTACACATACTTGTTTTTTTTATAAATTGAACCAGAGGACAATCCTCATCCTTGACATTGTTTTATTATAACGATATCTCGCTCATATAATTTATTAAAAATCAAATACTGAAAAATTGGCCTACCAGCCCCGGTCTCCCCTACTCTTTCGATCTCCGCCAGCGGCCCGAAATTGAAGGAAAACGAGGCGCGATAGTAGGGACAGCCGGAGGAGAAATTTCCGGGAAATACTTCCCCTGGAGCGGAACGGTGCACTACTCTGTACGTGTGTTTTGTATATCGTTATACAAAATAATTCATTAATCAAATATATTGAAAATAAAAGATAATGATTACAACAAACAACTCTAAATAAACTATTTAT